ACCCATGCATTTACTACTTTTTTTGCACGTCTTTTTTTGCTGGGATTACCATAACTTAAATCCTATATAAACAACTCACTTAAATTAAGAAAAAACGCATTAGATTTGTACTTATATGCCAAGAGTACAAATTGAATATTAAACAAAATACATAAGGCTAATTGTTAATAAATGTATTTAGATAATCTAAATGGATTTTTGGTGTATTTTTATGCTTTAGATTTATAATTTTTTTTTATTCAATTTTTTTTTAATAATTTTTGCTATATTTTTCGTTAAGCAATTACTCACTTGTAATTTTACTTTAGCATCATCCAAGATGACCTTACAAGTGAAAAATGAAGCAGCTATTGTTGGACCAACATCTTTGTGTAGAGTGTTTTTAATGTATTTGGTTACAAGGCATGTTTTGCCAACACCTAAAAAAAAGCAAGAAAGAAGAGAAAAAGTAAAGTAGACAAAGAAAAATTTATTATTTAAGTTTAATTTTTTTCCTTTTTGTATGTGGTTAAATTTCAGACAATAAGATATTTAAAATATTTTTCTAAATTGAAATAAATGGTATTTTTAGGATTTTTTTTTATGCTATGATACAATAAAAAAAAAACAAAATCAGATGAAAGACTCATAATTGAAATGTTTTTGAAAGTACTTTGAAGTTTAGTCTTCTTTTTTTCCATGAATTTAGTGCGTTTGTATATAAAGTAATAGATTTCTATGGTGTGGTTTAATAACTTGATTTAATCAGTAATGAATACAATTATATCGCAATAGAAAATCTGATGTCATATTGAATTTATGTTACAAAAGCTAACGTTATTAAAGAAATCTTTTGGTTTGCTCTTACTAATTTCTTTAAAAAACTATTTTTTTATCTAATATTATTTGACTACAAATTGTATAAAATAATTAAGAAAATAAAAAGGAGATACAAGGTAAATAGAAAGAGCATAGAAGAATGAGGGAGAGAAAGATGTGAAAAGCAAAAATTATCTCAATATAAGTGAAATCTCTATTGTCCGTTACCCGAATATTTCCCTGATGAAACCTAGAACGTCGGTCAAGTTACACCCAGCTATATCTCCCAGTCTATCATGGAATCTTTTACCTAGCCAGACTAAGGTAGTTGCATAGAATAAGCCCTTCTATTGCTAACTGCTCTTCGTCTACAAAAATCCTGGATTTCACCGACCGATTAGTGCACACAATTTTCTCAACTACCGAGTAAATATAGGGTAGAATCCTATCTATTACCCCTATTCCTACCGGCCTCTTGGATTCATCAGTAAAGACCACACACCCTTTAAACATTACTTCGGACCCAATACACTCGTCAATACTAGGAAACACTATAGAAGGTGTAACCGCGAAGTCCAAGGTCGTAACCAAATGATCAGAAATACCATAATTACTCCCGTCAATCCCTGTTAGACTTAACTCGTACAGTATTCTAATATGCCCTAGAAGTTTTGGTTCCTAGACACCACACTTTCCACATATGTATTTGCCAACGGAGAGCAGATTTAGAATAATATCCAACACCGCTTGCCATATACTGCCTCTAGAACTAGTTACTTTTCCTCATCGCTACCCACCACACGGTACAACCGTAGGTAATGATGTCTTATAGACGACGTATAAATCCAGTTTACTATATCTCGCCGCAATCCCCAAATCTCTTAGCGTTTCCTGTATATTTTTCATCCACGACCGTTTGCGGCCGAGGATAGTCCGTACTTGGCTCTTTCTGATAAAGTCACTCTAACGAAGTTTAATTTCAGCTAGCTATGTCATAGATGGATTCATTGCCATTAGACCAGGTTGATAGATCACTTAATGCTTTCTTCACTGATTGTCGAGAGAAATTTACCTTTAACTAGTATCATCATGTCATCCGCATAAGCGACTATCTTCCCACCTTTAGATTCATACACCATGAGGATAGAGTTGAACGCCAGTAACCAGAGTAGGGGTGATAACACTCCTCCTTGTGATGTAGTCCTATTACTCGTTTTCAAATTGTAATCATCCACTGAAGAATCGGTACTATACAACTGACTAAGAAATCCTGAACCCTCAGGACGACGAGCGACTTCCTGATGGCCTCAATTTACCGGGCCTACGACAACACCTGCTTGAAGTTCCTTAGAAGTAGACTACCCCAAGATAACACAAAAAGAGCCGTAGATTCTTTCCAATCTAGCTACGACCTGCTTATGTTACTTGAGTAGGAACTTCTACTAAGAAAGAGGTGTCATACAATAGCCTTCGAAACTCCGGGCCATATATGTGATTTGCATTCTATTTAAGGTCGTTTATAATTGTTGTAAATAGTATGAATACTAGTTGGAGTGAAGTATGTCTTAAATTTTAATAAAGATCATAACTGCTACAACTCGTATTGTGCTATCTCTGAAAAAGGTTGCGAACAGTTAAATTAGGCCAATGAGACAGAAGAGCTATAAGCGAACTCACTTGGGTCCATGAATTGGTATTGATGTCAATTTCGTAGAGTGTCAGACTACCCAAGGTCACACTCCTTATAACCAACAGAACAGGACAAAGACAATTAAAATGTTTATTGGGCTCTTCTCGTTATAGATGGGAAGAATATACAGTAGTCGCTGTACTGATCATTGCCCAGTCAAGATGGCTACCAACTATCGTAGCCTCACCTTTGAAACCCTCAAAAAGTTCAGCGATCGCCCTCGAAAAATGTCGAAATTAAAGAACTAACATTATATGTACTGTACACTTTTAACGAACGACCAAAAGTATTATTTTTTTAAAACAAATATGTATGAATAAGCTTCGGGGTAAATAAAATATTTATTCAGCCTATGTTCATGATGGTCTAGAAATGAGAAACAAACTGAATAACGACATTGGCATTTATAAACAAAAATAATATATTATTTTAAATTTTAAATTCCGTGTAGGTTAGGTTAGGTTAGGTTAGGTTGATAGGAGGATGTATACTACATCAAATCCGAAGAAATACACCTAGGCCACTATCGGGCCTGTTGTGCGCTCCAATTCAAGAAAAAAAAAAAAAAAAAAAAAAAAAAAAAAAAAATTGTTTACTGAATGTTCAGAAACTCAGTTTCCTGGACGTAATTCCTAAGAATCTTCCAATCGGTGTTGGTTAAGAATGTTATTTCCGGAATAACATCACTTCCAAGATACTTGGATCTAACTTCGACGAATGCCTGACAATGGCAAAGAAAGTGCTCCAGAGTTTCACTGTCCTCTCCACATGCTCTACATTCGTCTGAATTCGCACGTCCAATTTTGTATAGATGTGCTCGTAATCCTGTGTGTCCACTGAGAATACGTACCATCATACTAACCTCAGACTTGCTCATTTTGAGAAGATTTCTCGTCTTGCTCTCATCAGGGTCACCCCATAGAATCTTTGTGGTTCTACCCACCGTTTCATTATTCCAAGAGGCCTTATGGGATTCTCTCATCCATATTTTTAATTCAGCTTTTGTTGCGTCGAATGGTTTTGCGTTTGTCAGGTTAACTACATCGAGCTCCCTTCCCTTTAAAGCTATTGCATTCGCCCTTTCGTTGCCGATTACTCCCGAGTGGCCTGGTACCCATATGATGTGAACCTTACCTCTGGGAGAGTATTCAGTTAAAGCTTTCTTACAATCCAATACGGTCTTAGATTTAATTCTATCACCTGATATCGCACAAATTGCCTTCTGGCTGTCGGTAAATATATTAAGCCTTGTGGGCGCCATATTTATTCTAATCCAATTTACACATTCCGTTATTGCTCGTACTTCTGCCTGGAAGCTTGTGTTATGATTAGGTAAACGGTGGTATATTTCTGTTTCTGGGTCTTCAATATAGAACCCCAGACCCACTTTGTCCCCTAATTTAGAGCCATCCGTGTAGCAACGGATTCCTACTGGTATTTGCTCTAATGTTCCGCTTGACCAAGACATTCTATCTGGGATTAGCGTTTCAAAGTTTCCGACATATTCAGTGTCTGGTATGCGATCAGGCACGTCCGATGAATGTGTATAACCTTCCAATGTGTCCAGTATACATTGATGACGTGTCCTATAACCGTTTTTGGCCAGTTCGCCTAAAGTAAAGAGCCGTTCGGCTGTAAGCGCCGCCTCATATCTTATATATGTTTCAATGGGTGGAATATCTAGCAACGTTTCCAGAGCCTTGGTTGAAGTAGTACACATGGCACCACTTATACCCAAGCAGCATGTACGCTGAACTCCCTGTAGTAATTTGATATTACACTTTTTGTCCAAAGCAGTCCACCAGATTATTGAAGCATAAGCTAGAATTGGTCTAATTACACTTTTATAAAGCCAATTTGTCATAGTAGGACTAAGACCCCATTTCATGCCTATGGTTCTCCTACATATCGCCCAGCACCGATGTGCCTTGTTGATCCTATCCTCTATGTGGTGTCTCCATTTTAATTTCCGGTCAAGTATTACACCTAAGTACTTAACTTTGTCTGTCACCGGTATCTTCTTGCCCAAGAAGCAAGGTTCAGTATATGTAGAAATTTTTGTCTTTCTTGTGAAAAGACAGATTTCCGTCTTCGCCGGGTTAACATTGAGGCCTCTCGGTTGAGCCCAGCTCAAGGCCGTATTCAGAGCCTCCTCAGCTCTTCTACACAAGTAATTTGGATCCTTTCCCTTTAAAAGTATTACGACATCGTCTGCATAGCAGACAGGTCTAAGTCCTTTCTCGGTTAGGGTCCTTAGGAGGCTATTAATCGTGGTGACCCAGAGTAAAGGTGACAAAATGCCACCCTGTGGTATACCTCGAAATACCTTTTTCCTTATAGTTATATCGTACATCTCGCAGCTTATCCATCTGTTCCTTAGCATGTAGTTGATCCAGTTACGGAGCACCCGGTCAACATAAAACTGGTCTAGGGATTGGATAAGGGTATCAGTGTGCACGTTATTGAAAGCGCCTTCGATGTCAATGCATACTGCCAGTGTATACAGTTTGCTATCGAAAGATTCACCTATGTAGTGGACAACTTCATTTAAAGCGGTTTCCACCGATCGTCCCTTTACATAAGCATGTTGCTTATATTTAAGGTCATTGTATGGTATGCTGCTTTTAACCATGCTATCGACTATCCGTTCCAAGGTTTTAAGTAGGAAGGACGTAAGACTTATCGGTCGATAGGACTTAGGTGTCGCATAGCTAGGTTTCCCTGGTTTGGGTATAAATATTACCCTTGCATCCTGCCATTTAACTGGGGTATATGCCAATTTTAAGCATGCAGTGAATATCTGTGACAGATGTACGGAAACCAGTCCCGCCTCCATCTGCAAAAGTGCCGGGAAAATTCCATCCGGCCCTGCAGCTTTATAGGGAGCAAAGCTCTTGATTGCCCCTTTAACCATGTCAGTTGTAATAACTA